TGTGCTGCCCTCAAGGGCATCTCTCGCAATGGACTTAATTACCATTGAAATTACTTAATGCCTGAGAGCAATGTCCCATGTACTCTGGCTGAGTATATTGACTTTGCACTTCTGCTGAGTGGCTCCTCATTTACTGTGGGTTTTGTGGATGAGGAACCCTGCAATTCCACAGCGCCTGCTAAGCCTCTTCACGTCAGTCCTCCCGAGCCAGAGACTGTCCGCGTCATGCCTCCCGAGCCAGAGACTGTCCGCGTCATGCCTCCCGAGCCAGAGACTGTCCGCGTCATGCCTCCCGAGCCAGAGACTGTCCGCGTCATGCCTCCCGAGCCAGAGACCATGGGCGTAGGTTTGGTCTCAGCTTTGGTGGGGACACCCCCCCCCTCCTTCCCCCCCCCTCCCCTTCCCCCCCCTCCCCTTCCCCCCCCCCTCCCCTTCCCCCTCCCCCTCCCCCTCCCTTCCCCCTCCCTTCCCCCCCACTTCCCTTCCTCCGGGAATTATTTTGTTGTAAGATAAGTAACAGTCCTCCCGAGCCAGAGACTGTCCGCGTCATGCCTCCCGAGCCAGAGACCATGGCCGTAGGTTTGGTCTCAGCTTTGGTGGGGACACCCCCCCCCCTAAGTTAAGGTACATGCAGGTAGGCTAATTAACATTCAGTGACTTGCTAACGTAGCATTCTATCATGATAGCGCGACTTCTATGAGTCTATCCGTGCTGCACACCCCTAATTAATGCTCCTAACCTTGAAAGATTGCAGAAGCTAGGTTTAACTGTAACAATATCCTGGGTAACCAGGATCACCAGTTAATACTATTTTCCACAGTATAATCTGCATTTGAAAGCCTGGTCAGTCACTACTACTGCTAGTTATTTGTGTGGCTAGTTATTTTTGTCTCCCACTATGAAAAAGCTTCGTATGTCCCCTTTCTTCTTCTTGGGTGACATAGCTGATCTACAAAGTACAAAAAGGGGCAAAAAAAAAATGGAATATTAAAATGTTTTACTCTGGCCTTTGTATATTGCAGGCAGAGAGACAGCCCTGGTAACTTACCGTCGGCGTCGTCACGCACACACACACACGCACACACCACCCGCTTGCTGCCAGTGAGTGCAAGCACAAAAAGTAGTCCAGGCCCGCGCGTGTAGCCTGCCTGTCAGATACCCCGCCGCCAATCAAATTACGGCGTATCTTGTACTGTCGTCGTCCTGGCCGTTGGAATCGATCCAAATAGCAGCGCAAAGATCCAAATGCAGCGCAAATATCCAAATAGCAGTTCAAAGGAGCTTGCTAAATATTGGTGGGGACAAATTTGTCATCTCAAAATATTGATTGGGACTAGTACCTAGCGTCCCCCCCTAAACCTACGCCCTTGCCAGAGACTGTTCACGTCATGCCTCCCGAGCCAGAGACTGTTCACGTCATGCCTCCCGAGCCAGAGACTGTTCGCGTCATGCCTCCCGAGCCAGAGACTGTTCACGTCATGCCTCCCGAGCCAGAGACTGTTCACGTCATGCCTCCCGAGCCAGAGACTGTTCACGTCATGCCTCCCGAGCCAGAGACTGTTCACGTCATGCCTCCCGAGCCAGAGACTGTTCACGTCATGCCTCCCGAGCCATAGACTGTTTACGTCATGCCTCCCGAGCCAGAGACTGTTCACGTCATGCCTCCCGAGCCAGAGACTGTTCACGTCATACCTCCCGAGCCAGAGACCGTTCACGTCATGCCTGCCGTGCCTGTGTCTTGGGACAAGATGGTTGCCGCACCTGAGTCAGATCCGGAAGATACAGCACTCCTCATAGTCGCCACGGCTATTTTGAGTGTTTGGGCAGCACACACATCGGCTCCAACCCGTGAGCCCTCGGCCAAGATAGCCACCCCCGTTCCAGAGTCTTGTCTCAAGATGGCCACCGCCACGCCAGTCTCATCCCAAGAAAATTTGGGGTGGGGGACAGTAGGTACCTGATTACAGCGTCCGTGCCGTGACTCTGCCTTCAGTGGAATACTTTATACATGGTGTATTGTACGGTCATACCATGTACTGTTTGTCAGGTGATGCCCTGGGACACAGTGTAATGTTTAATTAATTTTTTTGAGATATTAATGATACACCAAAGAAATCACATCTTCCTCTAAACACCCACATGCAATTCCTCATGCCAGTGAACATTTCTCAGGCATATATTTCAGTCTGTACTCACACACTGACTCACTCATAGATCATGCACACATACTTTTTATACCTGTTTGTCTGCCTTTTTAATGCTGATTTGTCTCGCTGTCTCTCACGCATACTCTGGTCTGATATAAAGTCACTTTGTCAGTGTGTGGGAGGTCCTTTGAGGAAATGGGGATAAACTTTCTAAATTAATTAGCAGTCTCGAAAGGCCAGATCAGAGAAGCGAAGTCCTGATAGAACTGTGGATCTGCCAGTCTGAATCAAAAGACTTTTAAATAAACAAGCATCCTGAAATAGTCATTCTCTGATCTTATTGTACAATTCATGGAGGGATTTCATCTCCCTCACTCTCTCTTCACCTTTACCAACAATTTTGTCACCTTGAATGAGGCTGATGGGAACGTGTGTGGGCGTCGTGCGTCAGGAATCGGATATCTATCCATAGGAAAAATTGCCTCTAATCGTATCATTAAATGAGTTCATGGTGAAAGGCAGTAATTGGTTGGGGGGTGACGAGTAAGCCTTGCTTAAAATGGGTTTGAAGATGATAGTATCCCACAAGGCTCTTGCAAATCAATATGGAGGTTGGCAGGATGTTTAAAAGCTGGAACTTATGGACATCTCCCCCTGCTGTGGGTGTGACCGTATGACATGTCTGGGGTTCCCATACAATTTTCGGTAATGGTTAGATGTTTAGTCCTGAAAATGTATCTGAAAAAATATCAATATTACACTTCAAAGGAAAAGGTCAAGACATTTAAAACTTGTAGATGAAAACTCATTTTCTATGAATAACTTAATCTGTCTGAAAGTATCAGATATTAACTTGCAATATTTCTAATCTTCTCATATATTATCTATTATCATCAAGTATGTTTTGTGTTTTGTGGCGGGTGTTTTGTGATTGTGTGATATGCATTCTGAATTCAGTGGGTAATCTCTTCTAAATCAACTGTTTGTGTTTGCATGTATTTGTTTTTTGCTGATAAATGCACATGACAGCACTGTCATGATTCAATTCCATTGAGTCAAACAGCAGAGCAAACAACACTCTTCAAATGGATTTAGATGGGCTGGTCATTCTGGCTATACTGCTATGGCACAAAGTTGGCCATTCCTTTTATTGAATTAGATAAATCCCAGATATATGGTAAAGATCTTTATTATTAGTGTTAACCAGGTTATTCAAGTCAGTCCAATGTTATTTCATTGTCCTCTCATTTCTATTAGGTGTGCGGAACCGGACCTGTCTGACTCACTGCAGGTACAACATCACCTGCACCCCAAAAGCTGAAGTCAGAACTACTGTCACAGTGAATCACAGGCTTTACTGGACTCAGCTAAATTATTTAATGCCGTGACACGGTATGTGAACTCAGTTCCGCCCACAGCCCAGAAAGAGAAAAATATGTCAGAAGAAACTGTTAAACTAACAGCATTTAATTATGAAAATTAAAATGTTGCTTAAATTGTTATTTTTTCCTTTCCTCCCTTTCATTTACATCTTTGTGATTAACCTGCTGCTTCTTATAAGTAATACGCAAATTATGGAGTATACCGCCCCCTACAGGGCTACAGGAAAAAAACGCATTTAAAAAGAAAGAAGCCTGAAAAAAGAAATATTGCATGGTAGCTACTGAAAATATTGTATAAAAATATTTTTTTCAGACACCAGATTTAAGCAACACACACTCACACAAGAATCTTAGGAACTATGTCTATACGTCCATTTGTGGGCCTTGGCTGGTCAATAATCTGGTCAACTGCTCAGGTCAGGTGCCTCTAGCACAAACTCATAAACATGATATAGAAGTACATGACAGTATGTTGTGAGAAAACAACTGAGCTCAAAATAAATGTTGATATGTTTTACATATTTACTTGGGACAACATGTCAAATTGATAATAAAATAATAAAATTGTATTCTTTGTGTCTTTGTTGGATTTTTGTTTGTTTGTGCCCTTTAAAGGGTTAAAAAACCTTCAAACATTATGATATAAATATTATAAAATGTTTTACAATAGAAAATGTAAGAGACAAGTTATGTAATTGTTAAAGGCAGTGCTGTTTTAGTATCCTTGGTTTATAGGGGTTTTGATATTTTTAATTAGATGTTATTTTTATATTTTGTTTTTGTCATTTTTTATTATTTTTTTGTTTTAAAATATATAGTCTATAGTTTTATTATGTTTTAGTTTATTATTGTTATATATTTAGTTTTAGTCATTTCAGTACTTTTGCTTAAACTAAAGGGCAATGAGAAATGTTACCTTAGCAACTAGCTTAGTAAGTTTGAAGTTTTTTTATATTTTATTTTCATTAATGTTTATTTTATTTCAATTAATTAAATTTATTTATGGTTTAAGTTAACGATAAAAAGGCCTGCAGGAGATATATTTTATGTTAACAGAGCAGGACTGTGATCTAGTAACCTCTCAATTAGAGGTCAAATGTCACAATGGAACAATTCATCTCTGTTTGGGACAAGATTTCCCCAGTAGCAGAATCACTCATCTCTAACCTCAGTGTGAAGGAATCTTCACTGAAGTCATACTTTTTCAATTGAGCAGGCATGTTTGTTCTCATTGGCATGCATATACCTGTCCAAAACTGCAGCTTTGGATGAATTAACTGCCACAAACTTCATCAGGTTAGGCTACTGTTTCTCATGTTATTGAGAACATTATAAGGATAAATAGTATGTCAATGTGTTTTTCCCTTAAATGTTCATGTTTGAGCAGTGCTCTTTTATATAGCCCTACATGTACTGTTATGTCACCAACCTGTCAGTCTTTCGCTTTTGCAATGCTCATTTGCTCTCATTGCTGCAGCGGATGTCTCGCCTCCTCGTGAATTAACAAAAGCTTTGAGAGGGTATCCCAGCATCGCCCGGCTGTCTCCCGGGGAAACGTCCCGGGTAAACAAGAGCGAATCTCCGCGCAACCGGGCGTCAGCAGCAGCAGCAGCAGCCCTCGGCTCGTGTTGTGATTGCTAGCGCGCGCGACACGTCCATCCACCTCAGAGCAAGACAGAGCTCTTTTCCAAAAAGAAAGTTTCTTACATTGAGTCACCATTTTAAAAGTCAAGTGGCTAAATAGGTTATGAACTTTACAGTGGCTTAAACTTGTTTGGTTGACAAGCTCAAGGGCTGTGAGTGATGGACAGAAAAGGAAACACGCGGCGCGCCACTTCGGCTGGGTACCGTTTACCGGACCGACCCAACGGTCCCCTCGCCTCTCAGTCCTCGGTCTCTGTGTTCAGGAATTCAGCGGGCAGGACACGAAACACCGGTGACACACCGACGCAAGGCGATGATACCCGAGACCCGGTAAAGCAAGACCAGGTTTGGAAAGAGTTTGTGCGCGCGGAGCGAACCGGTATGAAAGAATGGTAAGAAATATTATTTAATTCACTTTCAGTGGAGTTGCATGTTTGTTACTCACTTTCCCTGGAGTTGCGTTACTAATCTTTTCTCTCCCCTCTTAAATGTGCCATTGTTTGACCCGTTATTTGATACGGGATGGATTGTGGTTGACCAGGCGCCCCCTGGACGGTGTGCGTTACGGTTACTCATCCTCTACAAACTAAATATACAGCCGTGGTTACATACACACAACCACCATCATATAGCCTAGGCTAATAAAACGATAAAGATTTCGTTTCTAAATAGTGAAATGCATCGTATCGTAGGTAGGCCTATATTATATATAATATCGCGTTGTAAATTCTTCATGGCTGTTTTATGACAGGGAGAAGAACTGGAGTTTCCTCATGAACTTTGACCAGCTGGTAAGAAACCCTCTATCAGTGATGCTCTCTGGCAATAACCCAGAACTGTTGCTGATATGTTTTTATTTTTATATGTAATTTTTTTAATATTGTTAAAATGTAAATATAGTTTACACTAGTTTTCAAAAGTTTGGAGTCAGTAAGTTAAAAAAATAAATAAAATAAAAATAGGCTACTTTTATTCAGCAATGATGCATTAAATTGATCTGAAGTGACAGTATAAACATTTGTTACAGAAGATTTATTTAAAAATATTGCTGTTCTTTTAAACTTTTTATTCATCAAAGAATCCTGGAATTTTTTTATCACTTTTCTTTTTCCACTAAAATATTATGCTGCACAATGTTTTCAACATTAATAAGAAATTGTTCTTGAGCTCCAACTCTCCACAGAACTGTATTTACTGTATTTTAAAAAAAAAAAAAAATTAAAAAAAAAACCCAGCTTTGGTGAGCATTTGAGACTTCTTTCAAAAACATAAAAAAAATACTGATTTCAAACTTTTGGTATCATTTATAAAGAAATAGTGTAAAAATGATTGGGATCTTTTGGTTGAAAAAGTTATTTCACTTTCTAATAAATTGTTATTTTGTGTTATTTTGTACTTTTGAGAAATATCATTAAAATGAGATGAAGGTCTGTCATGATCCTTCTTGTGTGGACTTTTATGTTATTTCTTGTTCTGTGCCATGTTTTGTATTCCTTTGTAGTTTTTCGTTCTTTGCTTGTTCCCAGGTGTGTCTTGTTTGCCAGTTACCCCTTGTGTACACCCCTGTGTTTCGTGTCATTCATGGCAGTATGTTTGGTGTGTTCATTCTGTTCCTAGTTCATGGTTTTCATGTTTGATGTTTATTTTACTGTAATATAGTTTATGATACTGTAATTATAGGTGAACTCAAAAAACGAGGGAGAGCTGGATCCAAATGCAGTTATTTTATTAACAAACAAATAAACATAAACAAATCAAACAAGAAATAACATAAAAGTGCACCCAAGACCATGGGAACACAGGCTGGGATCATGACAAATATAAAAAGCTTTTATTTTAGGCTTCATGAAGCTGGTCACACTTCGTGTTCATGTGAGCCATATGCAATTCATATATGGTTACTATACCACTGATAAACTTCCTGCTTTACAAAGCATTTCATATTTTATATATGATTTTTTTTTTAATTGAAGCTATCATTTATCTTTATTTTTCAGTGAATATTTTCATGGTCAGTTTCATGATGTTCAGTTTCAAATGTTGTTCTTGTTAAATTAGTTGTATTACCCTTGTCATCCTCACAGGGTCATCCGCGTACAGAAACTTCTCTCCCCAGCTCTGGGTCTTTATATTCAGACAGAGTCCCAAACACCAGTAACCAAATGTTCGGCAGCGGCCTGTACACCGAGTTGGGCAAGGAGATGATTCGCCTGGACAACCTGCTAATCCTGACAGCGAACCACCGCAAGGCCAAAAGGAATCCAGAGATGCAGCCCTGCTGAGGTTTAACAGACACAAGATGTTAAAAACAGTGTAGCAGAGATTTGATCCCTTCTCTTGTCTTGCTTTTATACTCAAGAGTGTTCAGTGGGTAACAGTTTGTTTTCTGGATGTATTTTTGGATGTGTATGTGTCTTTGCTGTATGTTTTGGCAGTGTATCGAGAGCTTTTTTATTAGATTTTGTGTTGACATTAATATGCATCTCTCTGAGTACTTTAATATGCTGGTGGAGGCAGTAAAGATGACCCTATATTTAGAATAGACTATTTGCATATTCATTTTTTTAGACGAACACAGGTACTTTTCAGTGTATGAATGCAAATTAGTTTCAGATTTGAATTAAAACTATTTTGTCAGAGCTCTGCGGTATATTTTTCTGTACTTGTACATTGTTAGGGTTAGTTTTGAAAATCTTTATGCATCTCATTCTCAAGAGAAAAAGAGGCATTAGATGTGTTAGTTAATTCTTCACAGTTAAGTTTACATATAATCAGCCAATTCAGATATTTTATCCATGAAACATTAGGAGGAATAGAACTGGAATATATTGCCAAGACCTACTACATTTATAATGTTTTAAAAAAGCTTGCCAAATTATAATCCAATAAAGTTTTTCTCTTTTTAAACAGGTTACATGTATGTGTGCCTTTTTTTTTTTTTTGGTTCTGAAGGTGTGATCACAGTCAAAATAGATTTAATAATAGCCTACATATTTTCCTGTTTTTTCCCCTTTGAATTTTGAAAGAAAGAGGGGTGTAGATGAGATTGGGAAATGACACAGGCCAGATCATTGCAGCTCAGCAACAGTTAACTTTTATTTGTATTTTCCTAGTAGTTTGATGCATAATAATTGCAACTGAGTTGAAATTTGAGGGAGGTTAGGAATGCAGAAAATAGCAGGTCAGTTTAACCATTCTTGTGAGACCATTCAGGTAATATTAGTAGAGCCAGGTTATTTATTGTATGTGCAATTATAGATAAAACCATAGACTGGATAAAACGCACCCTCTAGTGGAAGAATTTGTCCTCTTAAACAATATCAACAAGTGAACATTACTTCATAATGTACTTGCACCGACAAGAGGTCGCTGTTACACTCTTTCATTGGGAAGTTTCTTTGCTTCTTCAGTGTTCCCTCGCGCTACTTCAAAATTATACTCTAATTTGAGACTACAATCACAAAGGACTACAATTTTGATGGACGAGAGTTATTTATGAACAAGCCAATAGTCCATTAATGGAGACCCAACACGGCATGTTAATTTAATTTGAAAATCTATGCAATTTTTCCTTATGTTCACCGAATAAATACATTTTAATATATTAAACATAGGCTAATTAACTAAAAAGTCAATTTAGAATGTACATAATTAAGCAACATTCACCGTGAGTTCAACGTCATGTGTTCAGTCATCTCACATTTTATAGGCCTACTTAATTGACTTTTGGGATGACATGTGACAAAAGCCGAGTGATTATGTTCTGTGATTCTTCTGTGGTAGGTGTGAGAATGTTATCCACCACCGGAGGATATTTGCATTCTCCCGTCCTGCTTCGTCGACGAGACAAACAGAGAGAATAGGGGCTTATGGGTAAAGACTGCTGTTATCGTCGACGTTAGTGATGGATTCATTTAGGCGGATCGGGTCTTTTGAACAACTCATTCCAAAGAATCGTTTACAAAAATGATTCAGCAATTCGTTCACGTCATGACGCAAATGCACGATCACGTGATCCTTGATATCCTAGCATGGCATATTGCATACGGTAAAACCTTAACATGAAGCTATATTAATGCACATTATGCTGTTTACGTTTTAATTCCGTGATTTAGAACTTGAATTAATTAGTCGCTAATTTGAGAAGTTCCGCTCACATGAATCGCTTTTGTGAGCCGGATCAAATGATTCATTTAAAAGATCCGAGTCAAAAGAACGATTCGCTCACGGGATCGGACATCGCTAGTTGATGTCAGAAAAACGAACTCGAGGCTCGAGCTGCCTGCTGGAATACCGAGGAACTGATCCGCGGAACTGGCGCGAGCGAGCGACCTGCGGAGACTCTTTAGGAAAGCGCTTGCGAGTAACTTAACAAAATTTACTTTATCAGGAATATAATACACATAAAACGCACTAGTTCCGTTTCACCTCGCAGTTAAGTGTGTTGCAGGAATGCGTTGGAGTTTGTTCGACTCCAACAGATGCTCGCCTTTGAACAACAGCAGCGTTGTTTATGAACTGGGGAAGATTTGAAGTCAGGCTCAGCCAGTCCGGAGCGCCTGGGAGAGGGGGAGAGAGAGAGGAGACGAGGAGAGAGAGGAGACGAGGGGAGGGAGGAGAGAGAGATAGAGAGGCGGGGAGGAGAGGAGAGGGGCGCCCAGAAAACGCCCTGCAGCCGAATCCTCTCAAAATTAAAACTTTATCGCGCCATTGACGGTACGCTCGCATGAAAGGATGAGAAGTTTGATCCCGCTCAGTTGTTGAAAGTAACCACTTAACAGACTGTTTTGAGGGGAAGTTTGGAAAACCTCAGTTGTTCCCATTGGATTATTTTTTTCTTGCTCTATTCTGGACGAGCCCGGGGTACTTTTGGAGGGCGGCGAGTCGGAGGCTGTCTAGGCCCGCTGCTCGACAACTTGAAAGAAGATATTGTATCTTTAATGTGAACCAGAAAAGTTGTGCAGATCGCTCTTCATTGCTCATACTGGCGCCAGGACAAGGTAAAAATGTCGCTAGGAGCGGAGAGAAGGATGGAAAACCGGCTGAGACAACTGGAAGCCATGATCAAAGAGCCGCGGTCTGCGATCAACTTGGAAAGTTTGCTGGTAAGTTCACCGTCATTTTTCATGAATGTTTAATGCGCCTCGAAGATCCGTTGCCTAGTGACACGAGGGGGGGAATAAATAGCACGCGAACAACTTAACCGCGATGGTGCTTTGCAGAAATGAACGTGTAGCGAACGTCACAATGAGCTGTGAGGAAGCTCTGTGTGCACGTTGATGTCTCTTTTATTATGCTCGGCATTTGTACACAAACATCGCTCCCGCTTCCTACTTTCCTTGTCAACAACTTGCGGGAAACCTCAAGTCCCAATCTCCGCGTATAAAACTATTCTCATGCTACACTTGCCATATTTGAATAACTCTGCTGCGTCAAGTTCTGAGTTCATCTGTTGCCTCTGTCCAAATATAGTAATATTGTTGGCCTGCAACATGACAATTTCGTAATTCCCCCTTCCTGCTGTTGAAGGTTTGTTTGGTTCTGGAAGCAGACTCTGCCATTAACTCGCGTGCAGGTGAAGGCATTGGACACATATTTCGGAGGGCAGGAATATTTACAGGTTGATCTAATCTATCCAAATATAATGTTTTGGGGGATTTTTTTGGTCAACTGATAGATGCCAGTTTAGTGTGTGTTTGTGGGCACGTAATGCTCGATAACACGTCAGAACAGTTGATGCCAAGTGATAATATCTGTCAATCGGTTTATTTCTGATTTAGCTAATGCCTCCTTTTGGGGACATCATTATACAGAACATTACTTATACATTACAAAATAACTATGTATATATGTAAATGGAAATAATTGGAAAAAGTTTCTTTATTTGCAAACAATAAAAGTCAATTGTAATGCTTAACATACAGTTTTTTCAGTGACTGACACTGTCTGGGGCAATATTTATGTGATATAGGCTAATACAATTAAATTAGATTTGTACCGATCTACCATTCAGGAGTTTGTAATCAGTAATAAAAAAAAAAAAAGTAATTAACACTTTTATTCAGCAAGAACATTACATTGATCAAAAGTAAAATAAAGATTTTTAAGTTGCAGGTACTATTTCTATTTCAAATAAATGGTCTACTTTTGAACTTCCTATTCATCAAAAAATCCTGAGGAAAAATTGTATCACAGTTCACACAAAAATATAAGCTGCACAACAGTTTCAAACTTGGTAGTAATGTAAATGTTTCTTGAGCAGCAAATCAGCATATTGGAATGATTTCTGAAGGATCATGTGACACTGAACTGGAGTAATGATGCTGAGAATTCAACTTTGCCATAAATTACATTTCAAAATATATTAAAATAGAAAACAGTCATTTTTAATTTGAATACGATTTTACCGTATTACTGTTTTACTGTATTTTTGGTCAAATAAAATGCAGCCTCGGTAAGCATTAGAGACTTATTTAAAGAAAATAAATATAAATACAATAAAATGACTGGCCACAAACTTTTAAATGGTAGTGTAATCAATTCACCGAAAATAAATAAATAATATAGGACCGAAACATGCATTATTGACAGTACTGGTTAGGCTATTTGCTGATGCCAAACACAAAATAATGACACACCCTTTGCTCATCAACCATTGGTTGGACCAACAGATAATGTTGGGCTGGTTGTGATGCATAAACTAAACTAGTCCATGATTTGAAAGCACAAGTGTTCACACTGTTCAGGGAAGCCAACCTACCAATGGCTTACTTATTATTTTGGATAAGAGAATCTATCTGCATGCATACAAGTATTTTAAAATAAAAAGCCTTAGCTTTTAGCATGTGCATGTGCGCTTGAACATCATAGCAAATGCATCACGTTGGTGTAACACTTACTGTTCTCAGTGAAGTGATTCATATGAGGCAGTCAGGGAGACAGTTCTTTTGGTACTGGATGTTCTTGCATGTGTAAACTGTATGTAAAAATGGCATGTCAGATCTGTTTGACTGATTAAAGTTAATCTGGTCCAAAAGCAAACAATACTCGGCAGATGCTCGATGAAGCATCATTTGACTCACCGTATCTGGGCCAGAGTTTGGTCTAAACTCTGAGAAGCGGTCTGAGAGAAAGATATGGGTCATCTTTTCTGAGGGAATTGGTGTTTATCAAAGAGATGTGTGTGTATGTGTGTGTGCGTGCGTGCGTGCGTGTGCACGCTTTCCATTCTGTGAGTGTTGGTGACAGAGTTTCTCCATTGCTGAAGAATGTGTGTGTTTCCTGAGAAGGAGATGAGCAGAGGAGAAGTGGGAAGCAGTGAGTGGGAGTGAACAAGCCTCACTCTCTTTCTCTCTTTCTGTCTTTCTCTCTGCCATTTATAGCTCAAGTCCCTCTCTGGTTAAGCTCAGGGCAGGAGATAGCTCTGTTTGAGAGTGTTTAGCTGTACCGAGATGCTTCTAGAAAACACATCTCACTGATATTTTCATTTCTTCTTTCTCTCTTTTTGCTCTCAGCCCCTCATGAACTCTTTAATTTGTCATTAATTCTAGCTCAAGCTGATTACTGTCAGTTATCCAGCATAATGCGATTGATTTCAGGCCTGTAAAACAAGCATTTCAGCCTGAGATTATAGCCGCTTTGGCCAGTCTGTGTGTGTTTGGCAGAATGATGCCAAGTTAATCCATCAGGAATTTTCCAGGTTTGTTTCCAAAAGCACTTTTCCATATGTTTAGTTCTAGGGATGCTCCGATCGATCGGCCACAGATTGGTATCGGCCGATAATCACGTTATATGACTCGATTGGTAATCACTAAATTTGGCCGATTTCACGAACCAATCGCAATTTGGTGACGTAAAAAAACGTATAAACTTGCCGTCGACGTGCATGTAAACAGTATACAGATAAGGCTTTTGAGCCACATTCTGCTTTGTAACTTTGCAAAACATTAGGTAGGGTAGATCTTAAAAAAAGCTTGGCTAAAGCTATAGTCAGGACTTCCTGGATCTGTTCACGTCTTAATCATGATTTTCCAACGTCATTTGAAAGTTTAACCAATGGAAACTGGTTCTCAAATATGGTGGGTAGGGGGGACAGTGTGTCAAGACCAATCGGACACTGTTTTACAGCTGGAGTGCGCTTGGGTTGGATCAATCGATCTGATTGACAGGTCTTGATTTAGGAGCGCGCAGTTGAATCAGTGCTGGAATTACATATTCAATGTAATTTTTTGCCAGAAAAGGTGATTTTTTTTTTAATCATATGTTAATTTAAAAAGAAATTGTATAATATGACTTGTTGTGGGGTTTTTTTTTTGCTTGGTTTTATTGTATTTATATGATATTTGTATTTTGAAAATTAAATTTTTGCCATCAAAATAGCCTTAAATGCTGACATGGCATTAAATAAATCTATCTATCTATCTATCTATCTATCTATCTATCTATCTATCTATCTATCTATCTATCTATCTATCTATCTATCTATCTATCTATCTATCTATCTATCTATCTATCTATCTATCTATCTATCTATCTATCTATCTATCTATCTATCTATCTATCTATCTATCTATCTATCTATCTATCTATCTATCTATCTATCTATCTATCTATCTATCTATCTATCTATCTATCTATCTATCTATCTATCTATCTATCTATCTATCTATCTATCTATCTATCTATCTATCTATCTATCTATCTATCTATCTATCTATCTATCTATCTATCTATCTATCTATCTATCTATCTATCTATCTATCTATCTATCTATCTATCTATCTATCTATCTATCTATCTATCTATCTATCTATCTATCTATCTATCTATCTATCTATCTATCTATCTATCTATCTATCTATCTATCTATCTATCTATCTATCTATCTATCTATCTATCTATCTATCTATCTATCTATCTATCTATCTATCTATCTATCTATCTATCTATCTATCTATCTATCTATCTATCTATCTATCTATCTATCTATCTATCTATCTATCTATCTATCTATCTATCTATCTATCTATCTATCTATCTATCTATCTATCTATCTATCTATCTATCTATCTATCTATCTATCTATCTATCTATCTATCTATCTATCTATCTATCTATCTACCTACCTACCTACCTACCTACCTACCTACCTACCTACCTACCTACCTACCTACCTACCTACCTACCTACCTACCTACCTACCTACCTACCTACCTACCTTATATTCAGTAAAACACTCAGTTCACTTGTTCACTTGTTTTGAGATGTTTTTGGACTTATGATAAAAACCTTGGTTTCAAATGCCATAACTTTTGATTGCTTTGAGATATCAACACAAAATTTGGCCCCAGCTGACATGATTGCAAACATTTTAATGATTTTATAACCTGTCATACTTTGTAATAGTCATCATGTCAAGCATGAATAATAACAAAATAAATTGCATCACATTTTCTGGGGTTTTCTCAGCAATGTTGTAAAATAAGAACCTCCAAATGTGATTGAAATCTATTTTCTTAAAAATTTGAAAGGTTCTATCAAATAAGACCATGTACTTGATGATACCTTGAGTTATAAGCCATTACTTTTAAGGATGCCACTTGAAATCACGTGAAATCATTCATCAAAATGGGTGTAAGGGGTTAACAGTGACAGTCAACAGAGAGCTTACATATCACTTATGTAAAGTATGAATGATCAGGATCGGTATCAGCTGATCATGATGATGGCCAAGAAAACGGAAGTCAGTAAATCCTGATCGGAGCATCCCTAGTGTAATCTAAGCCTCCTTTTTTACTGTGATTATTACATTGTCTTACTGCCACTTTGGCCCATTTTCACCCTGAACTTCAGTCCCACAAAACTGCTCCCACATGATGGCACCAAAAGTTATTGAATTTTACAGTACACAATGCATATGAAATGGCAGTAAACTGTATATAGCCAAAAAAACTTAATGGGCCCTATCACACCCGGCGCAATGCAGTGAGCGATGCAAGTGTTTTTTGTTAGTTTCAGCCTGACGCAGTTATCATTTTCACGTCCTGCGCCACGTTGTTTAAATAGCAAATGCATTTGAGCCTATTTGTGCGCCCATGGGTTTGCT